CCAGTAGCCTGTCTGCTGACAGTGGCCAACCCTAGGGACCCTGGAGGGGATGGACTGAAGACAGTGACCAAGCCATTTGTCTCGTACCATCCCTCTCCAGCTTTCCACAAACCTTGGGCAGGGACACCACTCCTACCCCCTGGCTAAGACCACTCCATGGACCCAACCTCCATGAATTGATCTCACTTCTCTTTAAACTCTGTTCTAGTTGTAGCCTTCACAGCCTCCTGCAGCAAGGAGTTCCACAGGTTGACTCTTTGCTTTGTGAAGAAGAACTTTCTGTTACTAGTTTGAAGCCTGCTACCCATTCCTTTCCTTTGGTGTCCTCTAGTCCCTTTTTATGGGATCTAATGAAGAACTTTTCTGTATGCACCCTCTCCACCCAACTCCTGCTTTTATAGACCTCTATCCTGTCCCCCCTCCGTCTCCTCTTTTCTAAGCTGAAAAGTCCCAGTCTCTTTAGCCTCTCTTTATATGGGACCTGTTCCCAACCCCTGATCATTGTAGTTGCCCTCCCCTCTCCCACCCTCTCTCTTCCCCTCTCCCACCTCCTTTTCCCAGTCTCCCCCAGTTTTGTTCAATAAAGACAGATTCCATTTTTGAACACAATTGTCCTTTATTTTGTACATCAAGAAAAGGGGCTAGGGAAGGGTAAGTGGAAGGAGGTGAGGGAGGAATGGGGCACGAGCCCCCGATGGGGAGGACTGGGCTGGCTCTGTGGGCTTCTGGGGGGGGAAGCTCTCCTGCAGCCCCCCAATTGCCCCCTCTCCCCAGATGGCAGCCTTCGGCAAGTGCAGCCGGGCTGATGGCCGAGTGGTGTGATGTGCCCAGTGTGGGTACTCCGGGAAATCCAAGCCAGGACTGCTTTGCAAGCAGGGCACCCTGAGAACTGACTGTCCGGGGTGGGGGTCGGGACCCTTTAAGTGCAGCCCTCGGCTAGCCTGAGACAGCATCTCCACGCTCTAAGTCCTCCTCTGATGCTCTGCCGGCACTGCTTCCGGCCATCCTTAAGCCCTGTTCAGGGTCCACTTAATGTGGACATGCTAGTTCGAATTAGCAAAACGCTAATTCGAACTAGTTTTTAGTTCTAGACGCGTTAGTTCGAATTAGCTTAGTTCGAATTAACTAATTCGAACTAAGTTAGTTCGAATTAGCACTGTAGTGTAGACATACCCCCCCTGAGGCATGTGGCAAAAATCTCAATGAGTCAGGCAAGGGCTTTGGAGTTTCCAACGGCTACTAACATAAATTATATTAATAACTTGGGCTGTAATTCACCCCTTTGAAGAGGAGTAGGACATATCCTCTGAATCATTTAAGTCCCACTTATAGCTTTAGAATAGGACTCAAGTGAGGTTAAGGCCAGGTCTAAGCCTACTTAAGATATACAACTCCAGCTAAGACAATAGCATAGCTGGAGTCAGTGTACTTTAAGTCAAATTTTTGTGGCATCCCCATTTCAACTTCCCTTAGGCCTCATGAGCCCATGGAGTACCAGGGTTCACAGGGCACCATCAGCGTCAATTTAGCAGTTTCTTCCTAGGCCCACTACACTGAACCCCGGAAAATCAATCTCCAGAGCTTCGATTTCCGGGTAAGTATAGACAAGGCCTACGTGCTGTGCCAGACCTCAACATAGGGGTAAATGTGACTTGGGGCACAAGAATGGATCATGTTTGTGTATCCCTTTTCAAATATTTTTCTATCAAATGTCTCTGGATTTGACATGGGTGGACTGTATCCAAACCCAGACAGGGCTATGGTATGAAAAAGAAGCCATCTGCCAGCATGAACACACAATCCACTTCAATAAAATGGAGAATTCACTTTGTGCCACACCTTTTCCTGATGCATAGACTTTTCTATCCATTGTCGCTACTCACATTTGGAGGGATACATAAAAGGACTGAGGCAGATAGAAACTGCACCTAGCCATAATGTAGGTGGGATCAGATCCAATACTGCACACTTCACAATTAGAGGCAGGCTGGAGCTGCACAATTTGTATTGCAATCCAGTTTTTCCCAAAGCGCAGCAGTATTTGGATCCAAGATCTTGATTTATGCCCATCTCTTCATACAATCAACTTCTTGTTGTTATTAACCTGCTCAAATGCAGCATGCCAAGAGCACTGCAGGAATGGAGCTCTGCAGCTGCACTCAGTATCTTCCACTGCTGTGCCCATTTACAGGATACAGAGGCTCCCTTCACGATCTCCCCCACCCCTTGGTTGGTAGGCAATAGGGACTAAGACCCAGGGCCATGAACATAAGCTTCCTTGCACCCTACCTCATCAC